ATATCAGTTTATTTTGCAGGGCTCAATGACTGGAGGTGATTTCAGTGCTTTCTCCTATTTTAGATTTCTTATATAAACTATGCAAGTAATACAAGATTGATACAGTATAGTTGGTTTCAATTCTTAAGATGTTATGACCTCAAATTACAATACCTATTGACAACAGTATTCATTGCTAACACCAGTTTAAACTTAAAATATATTTTTTTTCCTACTACTTTATATCTTCAAGAGTGGAATTAATCATTATATAGGACGGTCTGTGGATTCTCGAGATCAGCATAAGCATCAAATTCAAAAATAATTGTAAAGAAAATGAGATAGTGCTTCAGTAAGTAGTTTCGGTTCAGGAAATAGCCTAGATTGTCTAAAATAAAATAATTACCAGGGATACATGTTTGTGTTTTTCATCTAAATCACACTGAGATGGTATTTAAAATGTGGAAATTTAAACCCAGCTATTTCCAAAACCATTGGCTAGAGCACGACTCTTAAAGTGGCCTCTAATTCCTTGTCCAGTCTGTTTACTTCTGGATTCTCTCTTGCTTTTATAACGTACCCCAGTTATACAAAATTCTTATCAGCTGAACTCTTGAAAATGGCAATGTCTTCTTCCACATGGCCAAAAACAACTCATAAGCCCCATGATATCCCATGTATGTCTCCATTCATATGTAACAAAATTGGGCAACACTGCTCCCTTAGCTCTTGTGAATTAGCCTGGAATTCCTGCAGGGGACATCATGACCTCGCCTTACTTGTCAGCACCGAACAGTGGGAGCTTTGCCTCCTCCTGTGGCATAACAAGTCAGCAGTTCAGCTTGTCACAGCTTTGCTTTACACTGAGACTTTGTTTTTTGCACAGTGATGACTCTGACTTCCTCCGCTTGAAGAATCCCTCCAGGAAAACGAGGCATTAATCCCGTGCTTCATCAAGCAAGCACTTCTGTGGTGGGCTCTAACTCACCTCCACTAAGGCAGAAAGCCTTGTGAGGATCCATGTGGGGCACCGCTGCTATGAATTTTACAGGGTGAGCTCTATTGGACTGGTGCAAATTACCTTGCTCTGAGGGGAAGAGGCTGTCAGTGGCTCAGGTGTGCCACTGCTTAGCCACTACAGGGGCTGTGGCTCAGGCAGAGGTGTGGTTGGGGTGGAAGGCAGACTGCTTGTCTGCCTGAAGGGCACACCAACAAGCCTTGCAAGTGTCAGAGGCTCTGGATCACCCCAAAGAGTACAGGCAAGTATTCCCTTTGTGTGTAATTTCTACTGTCTGAGCAAATGCGTACTGACTAGAGCCAATAGTCTGTCTCCTTTGTCCCCCGCACTGAAGGAGGCGCTCCTTGGGGCTGTTACTGCACACAGAAGTTCAGAGGCTGTTCCCTGTTCTTCCTGTAAGTTGCAGTCTGCATGGGCCACAGCGAGTTAAATCTCTGAAGCTCTATGCTGTGCTGCACAGTGCTGGGAATTACATCTGCATGACCTTCAAAATGCAAGAACCTTTACTCTTGAGATGGAGATGTAAGTGCTGAATCAAGAACAATCCCCAAGTAGTTTAACTGGGCCAAACCTCTGCATGTAATACCAACTGAAACAGCTGTGTCGTGCTCTGTGAAATATTCTAGGACTCGGCCCTCCAGTACACCGTCAAACTTGAACTGCAGAAGGACCAGCCTCTTCTCAAATACATGTACATTCAATTTCAGGAAATAGTTACAAGTGCATCCAGTCTCCCAGCCATATGCTACAGACAAGAAATGTGGTAGCAAATCAGTATTTAGTGGATGGACAGATTGTGCTGCCCTTTCTCTGTACTTTAAGACTGCTTTAAAAAAAAAAAATCAGTATGGTAAATGTTCAGATTAAAATCTACAAACAAGTCATTCACTCCAGTCCTTACATAAAACATTCCAGCACTGGGACCTGTCTCAGACTTGTTTCTCCAACTACTTTGGCAATATCAGTAAATCTCGACGGCTTTCACCAAGAGGTAAGGTTATCTCCTTTGAGCTCCCCAAAAGCATGATCTTAAGTTATTTTATTGAATCGCTACCCATTCCCTTAGACAGTGAACTTTACCAGTTAGATAAATTGTTTGTGATAGTCCCTGTGTTTCTGGTGCATCTTAGCTTCAAAATAATTAAAGTTTGTCTTATTTACGTTACAGAATCTACACTAAAATTCATGCTTTGTCAGAAGTCTATTCTCAACCCATTTTATTTTGTCCCAATACAGTAGACCATAAAAGCCTTTTCCTCCTCACCTTGAGACGCTTTTAAAAAGTAAGTAAATTTGTTATTTGCAATCTGCTAAACCCAGTGAGGTTGATTTAACTCTGTGATGCCCCTTCTTATTTTTGTTGAGGGGTAATGCCTGTACAGAAACGCTTTCATCAAAGACTTTGTATAGCAGTACACATGTATAATAGACGTACAGTAGTGAATATATCGTGTTTGGGGAAATGTCAAGCATCAGTACATATGAGATGCCAAGGAAAAACTACAATTTTTTTTTTTTGTGCAAGACAAAGTAGTTACTCTGCTCAGAAGGTTATATTCTGCACTTGATTCCTGTAATTCAAGCATCAAAAAAAGCCATTATCTTAGTCATTGTTATCATCAGGTATTTCTGGATATCTGGAAAGGTAAAAATAAGTTTAAATCGGAGTGATCCAGAGGTACAAAGAGCAGGTTCCAAAAGTAGCACGTATGTGTCAGAAAGTTCATTCAGGGATTGAGCGGGATACATAGAAACGTATTCCCAACATGAAGAAAAGAACATAATGTAATGATGTTTCACCGTCAGAGTTCTTACATCATCAAAATGGAGTGGAATAGCCACCTCCCTGTAACTGGCAAAGGTCTTACCTTGTCTGGAGAGATACAATATGACCTGTTACTTACCGTTATTAGTTTGCTGTCTTGTAGCTTCATGTTTGGTACAAAACAGGTAATTTCTGTGTCCTCTCAATTGTGCAGATTGTCAAATTATGTTTATTAGAAGGTTATAATTTCCCCTCCAGTTAATTCTCCTAAATACATACCATGAATTCCATTCAAGCTTTCTGTTGGTTTTTGTTGGTTTGTTTCTCCAACCGAAGATAAGCCTTACACATTCCCTTCCATCTTTTTCTTTCACAGCCTGTACCTAAGGTGTCTCAAACTAGTTTTGTTCTACATGATGCAGGAAAATATCACAGTATCCCTGGTGCTGCTGTATAGTGACAATTGGTTGATAAGTACTTATTTTTTGTATGAGGGACACTATTTAGCAGCTGTTCAGTCCTACTGTATTTATTACACAATCATAGAATATCCCGAGTTGGAAGGAGCCATGAGGAGCATGGAGTTCATAGCATGGAACTTTCTGTGTAGTGTCAATAATGTCTAGCGATTTATTACAGAGTAGTACTGCAGCAGTCTGTGGTACTGTCGATAGTGCCTCCAAAGCATGCTTTTTTATCATGTCCTTACAAACAACCTTACCATGCTCACATTTTCAAAGGAAGGATAACATGTTATGGGTTTCTTGTTGCTTTTTATTTCAAAAATAGGACTTCTACTTTTCCAAGGCTTTCAGGTGGAACTTACTTCTAAAGGTAATGACAATTATTTGCAGCTGATACCCAGTTGTTCCTTCTAAATTGCAAAACCTCTGCACCAAACACTTTGGTCTGTGGTAAGTTTATGATACAACCACTGCTATGAAATACCTCAGGGGCACTTTGAAGGCAGTAAAGATTTATTTAATGACAAATGTAATTGTTTTTCTGCTTCTTCAACACCTTGGGGATCTGAAGTTGGAGTCATTAGTCAGCTTCACCAAGGGCAAATGTTTGTATCGCTAAAATGAATTACAGGACTTTTCTTTCTTCTTTTTCAGTTGAAGGTGAGATGCTGCACCAAACAGCAAATACCATATGGCAAATGTTGATCAGTATCAACATCAGTGTGTGTGTAAAATGTATACCATATGCAGCAACAGTACAATGACATAATCCTTGGGTCGATGGAGAAAGCCTCTACCCCAAAGCAAGCCATACACTCGCTTTTTAAATACCCAATGCGCTCATTAGAGAGCTGTGACATCCACTCGCAGATCCGTACTCTGGTTACACTGACTACCAAGATCAGCATGCTTCCACATGCTACTTCAGTATTGATTCTTTTTGGTGTATTAGTTGTTCTTTCTGCAGTGCTGAAAGTAAAGCTGCCTGCTGTTGTGATAGTGTCTTTATTTCAGTCGACTGTCTTGTGACATACAAAGAGGCGTAGCTTCTGAGAGCTCTTTTAGACACAGATCCTTAGAGGAAAGCTCTAAGTTTTAAACCTTTTGAAATTTGTGTTCCATTAAGTACCAAACAAGCCTCTGTTCAAAGGGGATATATATGTAATTTTAATTCCAGAAAAACTCTGGATAATAAAGAACACGTACACCACCACAGATGGTGCCACAGACCATCTTCATGGCTTTCCCAGACACAGCTAGGCAGCTGATTACTAAAGGCCAGAGATCTGAAAAACTATTTGTACTGTGAGACTTTACTATGTAACATTTCCTGATACCAAAGGTATTTTCTTTGTTCTTTCCCATTCATTGTTGTTAAATGTTCTGATTGTGCCAAAATACGTATGAAGTTCTTTAATGGTAAGTTTTACAAGTCATCTTTTCTCTCCACAATATCCCCATCTTGTTCTTAACAATTCCCATTACCACCAGGAATGCTAGAGGCTGCATATGCTTTATAGTTTTTGGTTTTGTTTGTTTTTTTCCTTCTAACTTACCTCTTTTTCTCAACTTGCCCAATTACTTTAAGCTACCTTGTAGAAATGTCATACCTGTCAGAATTCTGCCCCTTTATCAATTCTGGCTGAAATTGTTCAATGCACTTGAAAGATATTTAGGGCTTGGGGAAAAGAAGATGGAACATGGCACATTCACTTAAGCCTACAGTGTTTTCTTGGTTTGTTTGGAAAAAAAAAAAAAAAAAAGAAGTGCTTACATTTCTTCACTGTTTTTCATTTTAACTGCTCCATGTCACAACACCACGGCTCCATGGCTGATCTTGAAGATACAGAAACCTAAAGAAATCAAAAGGACTAATTAGTATTCTCTAAAGGGTGATATCAACATCTGCCCGCTAATGGTAGCAATATATGTATGGAAAGGAGGAAGTACATGAAGTCATGTTCTACCCCAAGGTTTCCTACAAACTTGTAATGATTTCTGAGGGCATCACTAAGAGTTACACATCGTCTGGTTAAACAGGCCCCAGGCCAAAGGACCGAAGAATTGAGCTACTTCATAAAATTCTGACATTTACTGACAATTTTCTCCCTTAATAAATTTTTGCCACTGTCCTTTCCATTTCAATCATTGAGAGACCTCTGTCAGCTTTTTAGCCTCTAAATCCTACTTTCAGGTGAAAGGGTACAGATTCTTAATCACACAATTGAGTTTGATGTAGTTATGCCACTAAGAGAAATAAGAGACATGAGTAAGATATAAAATGCATAGAGATTTAAAAGATGAAGAAATATCCTCATCGGTGTAAAACATTTCAACCCTCATGTAAATTGTGCTGTGCTTTAAAGTTCCAAGGCAGCTCTGTCTTTGTATGGTATGGAACACCAAACGCTGACAGGAATTTACCACCACGTGGCGGTTTCCTGCTTTTTTTCTCGTTACCCTTCTATAGCATAATGTTGCCCACTGCAAGTTGCCCTTACAGGAATGTCTGCTTGATGTTTTTGCCTCTAAAGTAGATTTTTTTCCATCACTAAAATTTATTTTTAACGACAACGAATAAAACGCCTCAAAAATCTCGATTTGATTTACAGAGGGTGTCCTGCTGACTTTAAACACTGCGTAATATCCTGCATGTGCTTTCACCTCACAGCGAACTTGGGTAAAACAAAGTATTTAAGGGGCAGAAGGATCGTTACGAAGACGGGTGAGACACGCCTGCTGCCCTTGAACTACTTACTGCAGCGGTTTCTGGCAGCAATTTCTGTCTCAGAGCGCCTGCTGTGGTGAGCCCACTCCCCCTCCACCCCGGCGCTGCCCCACGCTATTTTCTGGGTGCCCGGGGACCGGAGTCCCGTCAGCGAGCGCTGCCCCCTCCCTTGGCAGCCGCCTCGCGGCTTTGTCTCAGGCCGGGGGCCGCCCGCTGCCCCCCGCGAGGTGCTGTCGGGGCGGAAAGCGGCCTCACAGCCCCGCCTGGCAAGGACAAGGGTGGGAGCCGGCGGCGGGGCCCCAACGGGAGGGAGCAGCGGCACCGCGACCCTCCCGCAAGATGGCGCCGGGGCCAAGATGGCGGCGGGCCGCCTCCCCGCGCCTAACTGCCCGGCACGCGGCGAGCCGGCCGCGCGCCCAACCCCCCCTCAGGCAGCCCCGCGCGTGCGCGCTGCTCGGCCGGGCCGGGCGCGGGCCGTGACGGCAGCAGCGCGCGCCAGCAGCGGGGCCGCGGGGCGCGTGCGCAGTGTGGGCGGGCGGGAGGCGGCGAGGGCCGGGCGTGATGGCGGCGGGGCGGGCAGGGGCCGGGGCAGGGGCAGGTACCGGCGGGGGGCAGCGGCGGGAGGGGGGGGGCGGCCCGGGGGGGCTCCGTGGCGCCCGGTGGGGGCGGCCCGGCGGCGAGCGCGCCCCCGGCTGCAGCCCGTTTGCCCTCGCAGGTCGCAGGAGGTAGGCGGAGCCCGCTCCGTGCCGTGCCGCTCCGTGCCGGCCGCCATGGCGCAGTTCGGCGGGCAGAAGAACCCCCCCTGGGCCACGCAGTTCACCGCCACCGCCGTGTCGCAGCCAGGTCGGTGCCGCGGGGCGGGGGGGGGCGGGGGCTGCCCGGTTTGGGGCTTGGGGTTTGGGGCAGCTCCCCCGGGGCCGTGCGGGGCGGCGGGGAGCTGCCGGGCCGCCTCTGCCGCGTTTGTACTTTGGGTGCCGTTGGTTTTCCTCCCCTAACGTGCTCCGGCTCCTGTCTGCCCCCCGGGCACGGTCCGGTCTGCGGGCGTGTGCCCATTTCCCAAGACTCATCCCCAAAATGCCTTCGCCTTCTTTTCCCCTCGCACTCACTCCCAGGCTGCCTCTCCGCAGCCCTCTGCCTGCCCCCGCTGCGCTCCCTGCGCACTTTTCCCCGTTTCCCCGAGTCGCTCACCCCCCCCCCCCCCCCCACCCCAGCAGCACTTTTTCTCCTTCTGCACCAAGTTGCGGAGCAGGGTGAGGGCGGCAGGCACCAGCCTCACCTGGCTGTGCTGCCTCACCGGGTGGCAGCCCCGGGCTGGGGGGCTCCCAGGAGGCTGGCACAGCACAGGGGCGGTCTGAGGGGCTGCCCCCGGCCCGGCCCGGCGTGGGGGGAAGGCTGCAAGCCCCCTGCTGAAGGGGAGGAGCTGGCAGCCATCTTAGGCCGAGCAGGGGCCAGGAGGGAGCCCCGGAGGAGAAAGAGGTGGATGGGATGGGATGGGATGGGATGGAGGGGGGGGGGGGGTGCGCTAGAAGCGCGCCCCAAAGTCTGCCCGCTGCTCCTGTCCCTCCAGCCCTGCCTCTGGTTAGCCTACTTCTCAGCCTCCTCTAATTGAACCAAGCACAGAACTTAATTGGGATAGCACTGGTTGGCATCAGTAGGGAGATGGCTCACCTACTCAGTGAGGACGGTGTCTGCAGGGATTCGTAGCTGCTCATCTATTCTGGGAACATAAGAGCTGTTAAACACGCCACTTCTGCGCTTTTGCCTTCTTCCCGCAGGATTTACACCAGTTTTCCTGTTCCTACTGTCCATCTTCCCACTGCAGTATCTTTCTTCTCTCCAGAATCACTTGAAAGCATTTAGCTCCTTACACCCTTCCCTGCAGCCTCTGCCAGGCCCGGGGGTTGTGCCGCCCAGCTCCTGTCGTAGTCCCCATGTCCATGCTTGGTTCCCTGCTTTCTGTACTGGCAGAGCTGCCTTACACTAGGGAGCACAGGAAACCTCTTGAAAAACACGTGGTGTGCCGAGAGCTGAAGAATGGGAGCTGCAGCTGGGCAGTCAGTCCTCCCTCACGCAGCTTTCAGCAGGAGGGTACAACTCTGCTGCCGGGTTGCTTGCCCCACGGGGAAAGAAGCTGTGGGTGTTGAGGTGTGCTGGCTGCAGAGGACTGCTCACCTGTGGCTGAGCTCGAGAAGTTGTGCAGGCTGTAAATCTCAGTGTTCGTAAACAGATTAAAAAATATACCGAATTGTGATGTATTTTCAGAGGATTGACAAAAGGTATAAATACACTTAGGCATGCCAGCTGTTTTATCTCTTCCTTCTCCAAAGCATGAAGGTGCTTATGGATGGGGGAAAGATCTTGATTTCCATAGCACAAGCAACATGATAGGTAGCTTTTTCCTAACCTGTAGCCAAAAATGGTGACTGATGTAACGTTAAAGCCCCCTTTGATCACTGCAGAAAGATAATTTCAGGGTTTTTTTTTAATCATATTGCTGACTTAATGCTGTCTTGGCCGTTCCTGGTGAAGTCACCGTGTGATTTAAGGTTTTTTAATTAAGGTGCCTTACTCTAAGGTAGTTGTAGAGTTACGTGCCATGTAATGAAGGGTTCCTGGCATCGTTTTGGGGCTGCTTACTAATTACTGTCTGTACCTCTGGTAGTAGAAGAGAAACAGGTAATTCCAGGCGCCAGCAAATACCTGTGTATGAGGAGAGACTCCTGCTTGCATTAGAGCAAAATTGTTCCTGTAGTCCTGGTCTCACGGTTTGCTGCATCACATGACTGAAAAAAGAATGAGGTCCCTGTTATGCTGGTTAAGCATAGTTCGAGTATAGATTATGCCTGCTGCAGAAATCTGAGTGTTAGAACATTAAAAAAAATACAATTCCTTGATAGCATGGACTGCTTCTTTAAGTGCACTTTATACTTTTGGCTTGGCTTGATGATGTGCAGATTCCTCAAAAGCTTGCGCAGGGAAATACCTTCCTGTCCTCTCAGCACGTGTTGTGTTCGTAGCGCAGCGCTTAGCGTGTGCCCTCTTCAAGAGTGAGCTCTCTGCTTGCAGTGTGAAACCTGTTTTCACGGAGCTGTAGTCAAGGGGAAGTCCTGGCTGCGCTGCGCTGCCTTCTGGCTGATGAGCACTGTCTTCTTTGCCATATCCAGACCTAATTGCATTACAGTGGAGAACAGTGCAGCTGATGAAAAAAAAAAGTCCCTCCAGCTCAGCTATGCGCTTATTGTTGCTGGTGGCCCCTAGGAGATGCCTGAGAAACATGTAAGAGGAAGACAAGCCCGCAGTGCATCTGGGAACCACTAAGAAATAGCAGCTGATGCACAGTTTGCTGGCTTGCTCTAAATAGATGGCTTGTGGTGAATACACTGAGACCAGTTTCTATTGTGTGCCAGTTGAGGGATTTTTTTTTTTTTTTTTTTTTTTGAGCAGGTTGTGTGGAGTTTATATTGCAAGGGTGTTAAGCTTGAAGGAAAAGAAAAGTCAATTTCTGTGAATTTTGAGAGGCATCCAAAATTTTGAGAGGCATAGGCTACTCCTTTATTGTAATATGTAAATATGTATTAATCACCTCTGGAATTCGGAAGCAGCGAGAGGAACTGTTAAATATTATCATTTTTTTTTTATTATTTGTCTGCTGCAGCAGAAATTTCTGTGACTTAGAAGGATGCTTGAGCTGCAGCCTAGGACTCCAGCCTATATCCGAGCCCTTTCAGACTGACTTGCAGTATTTGGGGCAAGTTGTTCAGGCTGCCTTTGAAGGGGGGTATCTCCATCACTGTGCTTACTGCATGGTAAATCCCAAGAAGCTGTTGTTGCTGTAGGTGTGTGCTGCCAGTAATAATAATAATGATACCTGGCAGTCAGGTGTCAGCTCCCCACTCGGTAAGCTTTTGGCTCTGTGACTGTGCTCTCCCCTCACCCCGTGGTAGGTTTTTTGTTTTGTTTTCTAGTAGTAATGCAACCACAGTTGCCTATTTGATCCATTTGATCAGAGCCTGCTTGTTCAAGGTGAGTACATAGGGGTGAAAGGCAGTCAGATGAAACTCCTGGAACGCTTCACAGCAAATTAGTAGGGACAAGATGCATCTTGGCGAAACTTGCTACTGTGTATGTTGGTCTGTAAGGGAATCTCAGCAGTCTTCTCTTCGTGCCCGTTGTTAGTAAGCTGATCCGCAGTCTTGCAGGTGACACGGTGCCCAGTTGATACTAAGTGCTCATAGAGTGGCAGTAGTGGTAGAAAAAATGTTTTTTTTCTTAGTGGAGAAAATGGGATAAGAGCCGTAGGGTGGGCTGGCAATTGCATAAAGGGAGGATTATTGGTTATGCTGGAAGGGAGGTTGTCAGGATAGAAACCAAAGAGCAGAGTAAGCCAAGATCTGGTTTTGGGAGCGAGCATGTTAGTATTTTTGTGGATATTCTGGTACGAAAAGTAGGAGAGGGCTTATGAAACTTGCCTGATGACACTTGCTTGCCAATTTTTGCCTCTGTGCTGGTGTAGAATAGAACATGAGGCTGAATGACAGCAACTAGCGTAGTCAAAGAGGTTCAGAGGTAATAGCATGAAGTGAACTCATGGAATTTGCTAATAGGAATTTCTGTTCAGCATCAGGAGCTGAGAGGAAAGACTAATGCGTTTGTTATTTGCCTCGGATGAGCTAGCAAAGTAATGCAGCCAGGAAAAGTGAAAGCTGTCCCAGGATACAGCAGCAAAGCATTTAGATTGGATTTCAAGCTCTGTGTGAGGTATGTTATGTAAGGCACTGGTGAGGTTCCAGGTGAGTGCTGCTGGATGGCCAGAAATTCGTCTTCAGATTAGAACCAGTGGTGGGAGAAGCAGCGGGCGAGAGGATCAAGGCCTGTCACGGGAGAAGCCTCAGATCTGGCTTGCTTGGCTTCTAAAACAAAGTGAATGTTGGAATTTTCCAGGGGAAATAGTCTCCCGTAACACTGGAAATACTGTAATACTGCTGTACTGTAGAATGCTTGATTTCACTATTAAAATACTATGACTTCCTGGAATATGACAGGATTTGACCCAGATCATAGCAATGGTTTTTATTTTCCCCGTTGCTTACAGAGTTCTTGCAGGTTTCTTTCCAAACTGTAAGGTGAGGGGTGCCATCAACTTGTTTAGTTCTAAAGATCTTCACTCTGCTGCACAGAGCAGCGTGGCGGGGGGGTTTACCTCATTCAGAAGGCGTTGGTTGCAGTTTGTGTGCTTTATGGTGATGTTCACTGAGAACAAAGCAGTCTTACTGCATCCGTGGGTCAGGGGTGGCAGCTTCGTTTTGGATCAGGAGGCATGCTGTGGAGCACAAACTGCGCAGGCAGATTACAGCAAATCTGTTCTTAATTTCATTGTGTGTCTTTAATAACTTTGGAAAAGAAAGGAACCCTGTTCAACTCTAATGTTCTTCAGTT